TGCAGGGCGCGTGGGCGAGGGTGGTCCTGCGGGGTGGCCAGGAGCACAACACGGGGCTCGTGAGGGCTCCCTGGGCCCCGGGGAAAGGCAGCTCTGTCCTTGTGACAGAGTGCCCCAGGTCAGGGGACCAGGCTTCTCCCGCCTGGCAGAAGGCTGCAGCAGATGCTGGATTAGTTTGTGCCTCCCCTGCTCCTGGTTTTCCTGCAGCACATGGCCAGGGTGCCTCAGGACAGGTGTCATAGAATCACAGAATCATAGAATGGTTAGGGTTGGAAGGGACCTCAAAGATCATCTAGTTCCAACCCCCCTGCCATGGGCAGGGAAACCCTCCACTACACCAGGTTGCCTAAAGCCATTTCAATGTCACGGAAAGGAGGCTCAAGGTGGGGTCAGAGCCCAGCTCAGGCGGTCAGGGGCCACAGGATCTCTCTATAGATGCCCAGTGATCGCTCCAAGCCTGCCATGCCGAAGCTTCAGGATGATGTGCTTTCCTCCAACAGAAAGGTGGTCTGAACTTCTCGCAGGGTGGTGAAAATCAAGACCTTCTTCTTGCTCTGCTAGTGCTTGCTGCTCCCTCCCTGCAAAGAATCACAAAATGGCTAAGGTCCTCTGCTTGAGCAGAGTCACCTAGAGCCTGATGTCCACGACTGTGTCCAGCTGCCTTTTGAAAATCTCCAAGTATGGAGACTCTACAACCTTCCTGAGCAACCTGTGCCAGTGCTGTCGCCCTTGCAGTAAAAATGTGTTTCCTGATGTTCAGAGGGGACCTCTTGTGTTTCAGTTTGTGCCTGTTACCTCTTGTCCTGTTGCTGTGCACCACCAAAAAAAGCTTTGGACGCTCCCTTGAGATATTTATGGACACTGATGAGATTACCCTGAGCTTTTTCTTCTTCAGGCTAAACAGTCCCAGCTCTCTCAGTCTTTCCTTGTGTGAAACACTCCAGTCCCTTCATCAGCTTAGGGGTCCTTTGTTGGACTGTCTGCAGTCTGTCATAGAATCATAGAACGGTTTGGGTTGAAAGGGACATCAAAGATGATCTAGTTCCAAGCCCCTTGCCATTGGGAGGGACACTCTCCACTACAACAGGTTGCTCAAAGCCTCATCCAACCTGGCCTTGAACGCTTTCAGGGATAAGGCAGCCACAACTTCCATGGGCAACCTGTTCCAGTGCCTCACCACCCGCCATGTAAAAACTTTCTTCCTTATGGCTAATTGAAATCTAATTCTTTGATGCAGCCCACGATACGGTTGGCTTTCTGGGCTGCCAGCGCACATTGCCAGCTCATGTTGAGCTTCTCATCCACCAGCACTCCCAAGTCCTTTTCCTTCATGCTGCTCTCAATCCATTCTCCACCCAGCCTGTACCTGCACTTGGGATTGCCCCAACCCACAAGCAGGACCTTGCACTTGGCCTTGTTGAACTTCATGAGGTTCTCACAGGCCCACCTCTCCAGCCTGTCAAGGTCCCTCTGGATGGCATCCCTTCCCTCCAGCGTGTCCACAACACCACACAACTTGGCGTCATCTGCAACCTTGCTGAGGGTGCACTTGATCCCACTGTCCATGTCTCCAACAAAGATGTTAAATAGCACTGGCCCCAGTTACTGACCCCTGAGGAACACCACTCGTCACTGGCCTCCACTTGGACATCAAGCCATTGACCACAACTCTTTGAGTGTAACCACCCAGCCAATTCCTCATCCACTGAGTGGTCCATCCATCAAATCTGTGTCTCTCCATTTTAGAGACAAGGATGTTGTGCAGGACAGCGTCAAATGCTTTGGACAAGTCCAGGTAGATGATGTTGGGTGCTCTTCCTTTATCCACCAACGCTGTAAGCCCATCATAGAAGGTCACCAAATTTGTCAGGCAGGATTTGCCCTTAGTGAAATCATGTTGGCTGTCACCAATCTCTTCCTTATTTTCCACATGCCTTAGCATAGTTGCCAGGAGGTTCTGCTCCATGATCTTGCCTGGCACAGACGTAAGATTGACTGGCCTGTAGTTCCCCAGGACTTCTTTTTTTCCCTTTTTAGAAATGAGGGCTACTTTTCCCCATTTCCAGTCGGTGGGAACTTCATCTGACTGCCATGACTTCTGAAACATGATGGATAATTTTTTAGGAATTTCATCTGCTGGTTTGCTCAGGACCCTCAGGACCAGCAGATGCACCTCATCAGGTCCCATGGACTTGTGCATCTTCAGGTTTCTTAGATGGTCTCAAACCTGATCTTCTCCTACAGTAGGCAGTTCATTCTCCTAGTTCCCGCGTTTGCCTTCTGAGACTTGGGCAGTGTGACTGGTGGCTGGAGCTCATGCCAGTGAAGACTGAGGCAAAAAAGTTGTTGAGTACCTCAGCGTTCTCCATATACTGGGTAGCCAGGTCTTCCATTTCCTTCCGGAGAGGGCCAACGTTTTCCCTAGTTATGTTTTTATCACTGGCATACCTATAGAAGTTTTTCTTGTTGCCCTTGATGTCCCTGGCCAGATTTAACTCTGTCAGGGCTTTATCTTTCCTAACCTGATCTCTGGTTGCTCAGACAATTTCACAGACTATCTGTTGCCGCTGCCAGCCTTACGCTGCTGCGAACGTGCGATTTACATACCGGAAAAGACTTATGCCTCAACCCTTTGCTTTTGCCACGTATCACAGAAATGCCCAAAGTAACACAAAAGCAATTTTGGCAACACAGGAATTCTTTTGCTTTACAGAATCACAGAATGTTAGGGATTGGAAAGGACCTCAAAGGATCATCTAGTCCAATCCCCCAGCCTGAGCAGGACCACCTAGACCAGATCACACAAGAACGCGTCCAGGCGGGTTTGGAACATCTCCAGAAAAGAAGACTCCACAACCTCTCTGGCCAGCCTGTTCCAGTGTTCTGTTACCCTTAGTGGGAAGAAGTTCTTCCTCATGTTTAAGCAGAACCTCCTATATTACAGCTTATATCCATTTCCCCTTGTCCTATCATTGGATGCCAGTGAGAAGAGCCTGGCTCCATCCTCATGACAGTCACCCTTTACATATTTATAAACATTAATGAGGTCCCCCCTCAGTCTCCTCTTCTCCAAGCTAAAGAGACCCAGCTCCCTCAGCCTTTCCTCATAAGGGAGATGCTCCACACCCTTAATCATCTTTGTGGCCCTGTGCTGGACTCTCTCAAGCAGTTCCTTGTCTTTCTTGAACTGAGGAGCCCAGAACTGGACACAATATTCCACATGCGGTCTCACCAGGGCAGAGTAGAGGGGGAGGAGAACCTCTCTCGACCTACTAACCACACCCCTTCTAATATACCCCAGGATGCCATTGGCCTTCTTGGCCACAAGGGCACATTGCTGGCTCAGGGTCATCCTGCTGTCCACCAGGACATCCAGGTCCCTTTCCCCTGTGCTGTTCCTCAACAGTTCAGTCCCCAAATGTCTGATGACACCTGTTTTCACGGACTTCAGGTTTTCAAAATATCAAAATCATCATTGTGGATAGACTCTGGAGTGCAACTGCAACCTCAGCAAGCTTGGGTTATGTGTCTCAACTACTAAGCATTCAGAGTGAGTTCACTAACATGGTTGTTTTGGGGTTTGTTCCTTAGTAAATTTTATATTTGTAATTTTCGATGAAATATTTTCACCATGTTCTGCTAAAAGATAAGAAAACAAAAAACTGCAGTGGTAAATGACCCCATTGGGTTCTCTAGTGACCTCTCACAAACTCAGGTTATTATTGCCTTTATAATGAACTGAACCACATCTTCAAGCCTAATCCTACATCTTATAGATGTTCTGTTGAGATAACATTGACTTAACTGTAATATATCTGACCAGTCTATCATCATATAAAACATATTTTATCCATATCTTGAGGTTTATAGCCAGCGGATTTTTTATTTTGCTTAATGATGTATGTACAACATTTTATTTAAGCTGCCTTGGATTCTGAGATGCCATTAGAATCTCAGCAAATGGTGCACAATAATTTTAAATTTAAAAGCTGTTAATTGTAGATTAGTAGTGTTCTAGGCAAAATATAAATGAGAAGGGTTTTTTTTTGTAAATATTTTTCTGAATTCATGCTGCTTTCGCTTTAGTGATGTAATTTTATCAAATTCAAAGTTTTATTTATAAAATTATACATTCAGTCTTGAGTGTCTGGAAAAAAATAAAAAGTCCTTGAGAAAAACCCGAACAAACCCAAACCAAACCCAAACCACTTCTGCTCAATAATTCCTGACAGACAATTGAGACCAAGCAACTTGAGAACTAGGAAAGTGCAGTTTAGCTCCTGTGTCTTTGTGTCGATGTTTAGAATGTAGATAAGTGTTTTAAACCTCTGTTGTACATCAGAAGCTTTGATATCTTGTGCTCCTTTGATCTCTAGAAAGCTTCTAACTCAAGTATAACTCATGGAGTTGTCTACAAAAGTTATGAGATAGACTCTCATATTCTATTATTTTTTTAATGAGTTCAACCTTCTT